ATCTTATTATAAAGGATCAGTTTTATAAAATAAATATCATCAAATATTTACATTCTATTCCATGTTGAATTCACATGACTCAGAAAATTTTGAATAAACAATAAATTGAAATCTATTTATAATAAAGTTTAATTTTGTTAATGTATGAGTACTAAACAGTAATATACTACGAATGTAATACAATATTAAATTTATGCTGCGCAAAAAAAAAACTTGACCGTTTTTATATCTTGATTTCAGAACTTGTTGAGGCTACAGATTCATTACGAAGAATACTATTCATTGCCAGTGTGTGTAAGGGTTTAGAAATTTCTTACAAAATATGAACTCAATACATTAAACTTACCGAACATTTAAGGTTTGTAAAAAACTATTTTCAAGGGAATATCATAACTTTTCAGGAAAATACCATTTTGAAGTGTTTAATTTAAAAAACTTAATAATATTAAATGTTACTCGTATTAGAAAGTACTAGATAGAAACGAAGTCTGTAAAACATAGCTACGGTGATCTACAACAATCCCACTAAATTTCTACTAAAATTGGCTCATTTAAAGATGTTTAAAGTATATTTGAATGCAGTTTATTTTTAGAAACAGTTTCTTGATTCACCAAATAAAATAAATTGTCTTAGGGGCCATCCATGAACTACGTAACGCCATTAAGGGGGGATAGAGGTTAGTCAAATTGCGACATTAAGTTACGTGAGGGGAGGGGGGGTTTAATTAAAAGTTACGTAACTTCACTTTATGCCACAAAAATTAAACAAAATTAAATTTACTGTTTTTTTTTTCAAATAGAGCGCGTAATTGCAAAGTTCTCAGTCGTGCCACGCTAAGCGCTGTATTGTACGTGTATACTTGTGACACTACTACCAACCTTGTCGTATTATACGTTGATCACGCAACAGGGTTTTGTTTTTCTTGTTGACAAGTCGCGACGAAAAAATCAGTCGATAGCCAAGTATTGACACATGCATAACAAAAAAACAGTTTTTTGTTTTAATTATGA